ACAGTTCAAACAAATGTATGCCCTTGGAATTCAAATAGAATAAATAAAAAAATAAAGAGTGAAGATCAGCAATCGGATGATGACTACACTACACCGAGTACCACCACGAAGAGAACAACAGGAAATCATGATGCTGAACGGAGGCTTTTTTTTTATATAGTTTTTTTTGTTTAACATCCTGGATTCTTAAACATGATATTCTGGGGATGAGGGAGTGACATAAGTGTGTATAGTTGGTGACGTGTGTAGATGTGTGTGTGTGTGTGCGTCATGTGTTTCAGTAGGTGAGGGTGGAGTCGTCCCACTCCAGCTGCTGCTGTCTGCTCGCCCCCTGCTGGTCCTCTGGCTCCCCGCTCTCCTCTTCTTCGCTGCTCTCTGACTCAGCGCTGGTGATGTCGTCTTCCTCCTCGCCGTCCTCGCTCTCTTCCTCCTCCTCTTCCTCCTCTTCCTCACTGCTGTGCTGGTCCTCGTATGTCTGAATCAGAGAGGTGTGTATGTAAATGAAACGGATTCATTAACTCTGACATCTAACACAACATCATCACCAAAACATGGAAGAAAAACAAGGGTCTGCTATGAAAATATTTAAGTTGAATACATTCAGAGTTGTCAAGAGAGACTGTCTCATCCCCTCCCCCTCTCTGTCTCACCCCTTGTGATGACTCCAGAAATGAAGAGTCTAGGAAATGAGATGTTTTTTTTACTTTTCCTTCTACAGTCTCAGCATTCTGATACAGTGCAACTCTGAACGGCTCAAACAACTCTTTGTTTCACTGATTAAGTATTTATTCCTGCCCACTGGCCAACACACTCGGCAGAAAACTGAAGAAGAGAAAGAGTTTAACAAAGAAACAGGAGAATAACTGACTGCAGTCTTGAAAATTACTCTAGTCCTCTAAACCCACTCTGACCTTTGACCTGATCTGTCAGACATCATGGAGGATAAACTAAAACATTTAATAGAGGTAGGTATCTCTGTGCCAACATGTATTTTTACCTCCATGGGGTTGACAGTGATGGTCAGGGCTGAGTCGTCCCAGTCCATCTCGTTCTCTTTGCCGCTCTCCTGGTCTCTCATGGTTTGTTGGTGAGCAGCACGGATGCGGAAAACACCCAAGATGATCATGAACACCAGGAAACTCACACACACCACAATGACGATGGTGGCAGCGCTGGGTACCACTGTGACACACACACACACACACACACACACGGACACAGAAAAAGAACAAGTGTGGTCAATATTCACTGAGTCACACAGAAATGAAAACCTCAGGACATCTGAGCAGCGTCACTGTCACGGTGAGCTAATAATAATGTCATCCCAGTGAAGTGCTGTTAAAGGAGGTCAACAGCTCCGTGTGTGTTTTTCTTTAAATAGAGCCAACTTTCTGCTGTTAACCTCCTTTATTTCACATGACTGAAGTCCACTGTGTCCACGTTGTCTTAACACAGACATTGTACACTTCAGGTTCTCATACACTCCAGTTGTCCAGTTTGACCTTGACACATTTGGACAGTGAGCTGCCGTCTGGATGAGAGGTCAGTGAGCAGGAGACACTGACCACACCTCTGGTAAAACAGCTGACAAGGATACGTCAAGGGACACGTCTGAGGAAGATGGAAGCTGACCGTCCAAACATGTCAAGGTCAAACTACACCTGGAATGTCTGAAGAGTATAACTGACTGATTTGATCACCAGATCTTGAGATGAGCCTGGAGCTGATGATGATGACATGTGTGTTACTAATGTCTCTACAGCCGCGTCTGTGAAAACACAGACAGAGACCCAGTGGATTCTGTGTGTCCTACTTCTGTTTAATGGACTGTGACTGATCTGCAGCACTTGACAGTCCAGAGGGCAAACAGTTCTACTGGATCACACAGGAACAGTTGACCCCATTATTTGATTGATTAAGTTGACTGGGATTAAGAGGCATGAAAAACACTTCAACTCCAGGACGCTTTGACTCTTTCTTTAAAAAACAACATGTAGCAGCAGACACTGGTGCAGAGACGTCCTGATGAGACACCACTGTACACCACTTCTACCACATCTGTCAATTACACCTTTTCAATGTATGATGTTGTTTTTAGTGTTGTTTTATCATAGTTATAGTTTTGTTTCATTACTCAATGGTTATATTTTTAATGCAAATGGGGTTTTTCCATTGTCATTTAACCTTGTTAAATAAAGGTTAAATACAATTTAGAAAATACAAATGTCCTGATAATGTCATAGAAGGAAACATGTAGAGGAGTAATATTTTTATATATCAGTCTAATGTCATATCCTGTCGTACCTGAGGCCTGGTGAGCGTTTGCCAGGTTGTGTCCAGACAGATCCACAGAGGCGTGATGGACAGGGTTAATAAAGTTGGGCTGCACCATGGCATTGTTGGCATGTTCCACGGGGTTGGCTGTGTGGATGACATTCACCTGGAGGGATAAAAAACAAACACACATTTAAGATAATACAAAGACACTGGGGTGCTAAATATATATATATATATGTTTTGTACAGTATGTATGAATATGTACAGTATGTATGAATATTTATACAGTATATACATATCTCAGTATATATCTGTATACATATATATACGTATTTTATATATGTATACAGATATATACATACATATATGCAGTATATGTATATATATATATATTGTACATTAAAGCTGTACAATATGTTATTGTTAGTTGTTCATAGTACATTGTAGCCCATGTGATTATACTATATCAACATATTGATCAGGTGTTCACATTAATCATTGATCTGTTGACTGGTTGTAAAGGTTGTCTCCAAATTAGATAAAGAGAGACTAAAGGTAAGTTATGAAAGAGTCTGATGTGCATTTTACAACTGTTGTTCATTTCTGGGAATCTAACGATGAGTTCTGTGACCTACCTCCACCTTGAACTCGTTGCTGATGTAGCGGCCATTAAGCTCAGAGCAGACCAGTTTGAATTTCCTGTCAAACAGCGCCTCAGTGTGCCAGTTCTTGTAGCGGATGAGGTGCAGGACCTGCTCGTAGTTGGCCATGGTGTTGACACCTGGGACACGGAGGGGGTGACATGAAAGGGTGAGTGAAACAGCATCATCAGAGGTGTCACATGTGAACAGTCCAGGTACCAGAACCCTGTACCTGTGATGACCAGGCCCAGATTAGAAGAGCTCATCTCCAGACCACGCTGCTGCAGGTGGGTCACGTCCACCTCCAGGCCCTCGTGCTCTCCGTCCAGCTCGTCTCCTACCACAGTGACTTCACACGTGTCCAGGTTGTGCATGATCTCCTCTGACACCACTGTCTCTTGAACTGAGGGAACAATAGAGAGAAGAAAAACAAATATGATCATAATTGTCCTTTAAAGAGGCTGTGGTGTAACACAGGATTATCCTGAGAAAGAGCAGTTTGACATTAATTACACTAAATGATTGGCTTCTGCTTGAAACTGTCCTCTTCTATAAATCGACTCTGTAACCATCAAACCTAAAACTACCAACAATGCATCCACTCTGAAAATATTGCAACCTGTATTTTCTAATTCATTTTATACTTATTTTGCCAGTTCAGCAGTGGAGGACAAAGGAAAAAAAGAAAAGAGAAAGCACCTCTGTATGTAATTCAGCTGGTTGTAAAATGCAGGGCAGAAAACCACACAGGTAAAAGTAACAGCTCCTTTTAAAGGCTTTTGTTCCACCTGGCCTGTTGTTCACCACAGGACACTGAATCTCCCTCTATCTGCGTCACGTTTTAGTAGCATCTCTATTGTGTCTCCTTTACACATAGGGCTAACAGATGGCATGGCTGGTCAACCGGCCCCTCCCATCAGGTAGTAAACAACTTATCTTTCTCTCCCTGTTTTCCTTCTCCCTTCTCTCTCTGTCCAATCCTTTCATCCTCATGACATAATCCCCAGGGGACAACAAATGTACACCCACTCTAGCTGGCAGTATGGTTACATATGCAGAACAAAAACAACAGATTCCACTCTGGGATTGAGCCCAGTATGAAGTGAAAACACAGATAATCCTGAGAGAAGTGGGTCAAACTGATCTACTCCTCCTGCAGTCCCAGTGACATCATCCACGGTCTCTCTTACCGGTGGGATCATCATCTGCTTCCTCTGTGGCCTCAGCCTCGGCATCAGCTTCCACCTCACGGGTGATGGTGCTGACGATACGCAGCTCAGGGAACAGCATCACACCTTCCTGGCTCTCGAACTCGGCGGCGCTGCGGGCAAAGTGGTCGATTCCACTCAGACTGATCTTGGGTTCTTCGGGCTGCAGCACCATCACGTAGCCATCAGTGTCTGGCACCGTGACGCAGGACTCGTCATTGAAACATCTGGGGATAAGATTAATAAAATAATTTAAAAAAAGTTTGATTAGGTATTTGTTGTTGTTGTTGTTGTTATTGTTGAACATTTTTAGTTTTAACATGAAACATTGTGGTCTGAAGGTGAGCGGCTCAGCTGCCATACTTATGAATGACGGCTGGACAAAGATGTGAGACTGAGACATGCAGTTACATAGTAATGATGAAGACTGGTGAGAATAAATTAACTCAGGTCACCTTGACGTTAACTCTGTGGGATTAAAATAAATGGAGGACATGGATGCAGACCATGGTGAAACTTTGCATAAAAATTCTCATTCCCACAGCTCTTGAGCATACGATCAAATATACTGTATTTCACACCTTTGATTGATTACAGTCTGGCTGACCTTTTTACGTTTTTGGCACAAAGAATCTATCACCAAATGTTTTTAGATGGCATGACCTTTTCAGTCTCACTTTGTTCCTTTTTAAGAGGATGCTGCAGCCATTACATTATGAAATGACATTATCCTGACCTGTACAGTAGTATTTCTTGGTGTTGTTTCTTACTTGGCAGTTGTGGAGATGCGAAGATGCCTGATGCCAGGAGTGGGGAACTGACGAGAGTTGAGGTACGAGATGTGCTGCATGACCTTGTCAAAAGCACCAATGTCATTGCCTTCAACAGTCAGAGAGGACTGGTTAGGGTTGAACTCCACCTGGGAGAAGAGGGGGAGATACCGGATGTTGTTATAGGTCTACTAGCAACTAAGTCACACTAGGACTTGACACAAAATCATGTTGTCAAGGTCATGATGAGCGGGTGTTTAAATTATTTTACATTTGCTGGAAGCTGTGTCATTTTTTGACATTTTTGTAGCCTGGACTTTTATTACTCTTAAGTCAGTTACTGTAGGGATGAAATAATAAATAAAGCAGTAAGTAGGTTTTTGTTTACCCAACAAAACACATTTTATTTCTTTGTATTTAAATGGAAATTTTGGAAAATGCCAGAGGTGTCTGTCCAACTGTTAGGTTTTTTTCTCCAATATTTTCCTTTCCACTCCAGGTGTTTGTTTTGTTCTCCTCACCTTGACAGCTGAAGCTACCTCCTCTGGCAGCTGCACGTCCAGTCCCTCCTTGCAAGTGTACAAACAGTCGATCACTTTCTTGTTCTCCACTTTACCGGAGCGGATCATCAGCCCTGCTAGGTTTCCTCTGAAAAACTGAGCCATGTGACCGTATCCACCTGGATGCATCAGGATCAGAGAAAAAAGAAAGTTGTGTTAATTTACATTCTACACAGATGTTTTTAAACTGGTGACTCAGGCATTTGTCTGATGGCACGAAGCAGGTGTGAATGACTTTCATGCAAGTTATAATGTCTGCAAAGACACGGGCCTGAGGCCACAACAACAGAGACCGGAATAATAAATAAGAGAGGATTTATGAAGTAAACACATGCAACGTCTGCAGAGTGAAAACAATGAATAACAATAATGCCAAACTAAAAAATATTTCAAACATGGAATTAATTATGATGATGACTAGACTATTTAATATTCATTAGTGTCTTTTCTTATAAAGTGCTCCTTTGTCTTTAAACATTAATTTAAACACAGTTTAACAATGTTTCTGTCGTATAAGCAGTGGAACAGCCATGTTGTGTCTGTCTGTCAAACCATCACAAAAAAATCTGCACCACTGCAGTGTCGGACACACAGACTACATCTCAAGGTCACAGCATTTCTTTGTCATTGTGTGTGTGTATGTGTGTGTGTGGGGGGTCGGTGGGAGGGGGCTGCGGTTGCTGTTATCTGATACGGAGAAGCTACTGTTTTTGAGCAGAAGGTCATGTTCTGAAAGAAGAGCCAGCACGTTTGAAGTGCTGTAGCCAGGTCAGAGCTTTGTTCCCATTACACCACTATTTCTGTTCCTGCTTCTGCAGTGAGGATTAAATTAAATAATAAAAAAAACAAACAAACAAAAAAGAAACATGCACTGTGCATCATGCTGACAACATGTCTGTCTGTTTCTAGAATGTATGAAAAACCATTGTAGTCACAATGTAGTGTTACAATGCAGTTAGAACGGTGGGACAGTGTGGACACATGAGAGAAGGGAAAGACTGGAGCAACCTGAGGTGGGCTCAGGGCCTGTCTCAGTGTCATTGTCATGTCCAGAGTTTTCTGTAAAGGACAGAAGTAGAAGAGGAGAGGAGAGCAGGGAGAGAAAGGCAGGAAAGGTGAGCATCTGCAGGAAAACATTTCCACATGAGGTCAGAGTGCAATCAAGTGAAAATCTAAGACAGAGAGTTAATCCTGTACTGAACTGTTTTGCTGCAGTCTTATATAAATCATCTGAGAGAGTTCACCTTGCCAGCAGGCACCGATGGTGAGCTGTGTTGAAATCCTGGAGGCGTGCAGTGGGTAGTCCTCCGTCACCAGGAATGGCTCGAATGTGGTTCCGTCCACGAACAGAGACATGGTGGGGAACTCCACATTCAACACATAATGATGCCACTCTTTGTCACACACCTGCACACACAACAAACAATAGAATAAAATGGACCTGGAGTCTGTAAACGTGACATTTTGTAGAAGGCCTCAACATCTCACGTGCTGTCCCAGAAAATCAACAGTACTACTAACACAGCCAGTGAGTCGGGATAAATCTGTGTATTTGGTAAAATTAGCAGCTGACCTGGTCCAGCTTCCAGTGAAACTCGGCCGGTTTGTAGTTCTCAGCCTCTGAAGCATCTTGACGTAGCAGGAGGATGAGTCTGCAGTTGTGGACGTAGAGAGAGTAGTGATGTCTGTTCAACACTGCAGAGGAAAAGATGGAACAAAAGTTGAAAAACATTTAATGGGATAAGCCAATATGATGTAATACATTGTGTGTTCAGGGATAACGAGGCAGACTGTGTGTTAAACAGAAGCCATGAATGACCACATGAGCCCCCGTCCACAGCACAATGTGATGTAATTCCTTTATATAAGTGGTCAGACACAGGCAGATGAACACCCTCCCTCCTCCCCCCCTCACTTCCCCTGGAACTGTCCAGAGAACTGACTGTACAGACCATGAGATCAGAGAGCTTAAGACTACGGAGCTGCTGTGTTTCATCAGATTCGTAGGCAGCATATTATAAATAAAAGATATGAGTCGGTGTTATTTATACAGGATGTTGATGTAAGAGAACACTGGAAACACTGTGGACAATTTTATTAGACTGTATTAATTATCATGTTATTCCTATATGCAAACAAATGATCATCAATCCTTGGGAGAGTATTTTAAACTATTTATTTTATTTATTTATTCTATGTTTAATTATATATAATATCCTAGACCAGTAGTTAACTTTTATTGAATACTGAGTTTATTAAGTATTCAACACTTTGGAATCTATTACGTTTCTACGGCTGGATTTCCATTCCAGCTTTAACCAGACCTTTCTACTCCACACAGCTCACCTGACTTGTCAGAGTTGCAGAGGATGGTCTCCTTCTCGTGGGCTCCGGGGCCGTGTCTCATCCACACAGAGATGGTGAAGGGCTCCTTCAGGCTGGTGCTCACTAGACCCTCGGGGACTTTGATGGCCTGGGTTCCATTGAACTCAAACACTTGGTCGCTGTCGTGTCCGTTGTCAGTGGGCAGGCCGACAGTCCAGTTGACTGAGCTGCTCGGTGCAGGAAGGAGCTCCACGGTGCCAGAGCTGGCTCCTAAAACACACACGTTTCAGAAAATGATTCACTAAGAGACAATTCAAACTATCAAACGTCAACAACTTTCAAACGGCATCTGCTGAGAACCCACCACAGAGCTTGTGTAGGGATTTCTCAGAATAAGTATCGCGGTCGCAGCCCTTTCCGATGTGGTTGGTTTCCAGTTCAATAGTGGCTCTGATGGATGTGATTGGCTCATCGCATGTCTCCAAGTGCATGCTGGGGAAAAGGGCCAGGCTTCCCGTGCCAGGCTCATACTCAGTCCTCTTATTGAAACCTTAAAAGGAGATAGGAAAACTGAGGGAAACTATTCTTCTGGATAATCACAGTCTTCATCATCATTATTATTAACGGACCAAACAAACTTCTCCTTAATGTCCTAAAACATAAAAAGGGTCTTTTCCCCCAACATGTGAAAAGCTGTGTCTATAAGCCTGGCTGGGGAGTTAAAGGCCACAGCACAGCCTTTCTACCTTGCCAGCTGGGTTTGCAGGTGGGTTTGATGCTGATCTTGACCAGCACATCCTCAGAGGCACGGTTCTTCCCACAGTCGTAGGCCGTCACAGTCAGCTTATACATGTGTTCTTTGCCGTAGCTCAGTTTCTCCGTGTTCCTGATAAAACCTGGACATGTTGAAAATAAATCAGATTATACAGAGGTGCAAAATACAGGACAGAAAATATAAAGCCTTAAAGTCAGTTCAAAGCTGAACTAAACAATGTATACTTCCATAAATCTGTTAGGGTCACACTGTAATATTTACTTTACATCTTATCAGTTTTTGTGGCAGCTAAAAAAAAGACAGATCAGATCAGTGTTACTGAAACAAGCTTTCAGATTTGTACCATACAAAGACCAGCTGGTTTCTAGTGTTTGTTTATTTTCAATATTTACCAGAGTTGAACAATGTCACCTACATTATTTACCCTCACATTCAAACCTGTTTGTTCTTCATTATTATCAGCACAGCATTGAACCCTGGCAGCCTTGATGTCTGGCGCCTGCTTTTACTCGGTCTTCATTTTGTTTCACAACACACAGCAAGCAATCGTACCGCTGGAAATAAACAACCAGCCTTGCTGACCTTTCAAGAAGGCAAACATTATCTTGCAAATGACAGCCTTGGTGGCTTCGGTGTTGACACGGATCAATAGAAAATATGATTAGTGCCAAGAAAACGGCAGCCTCTCGATCTCAGCTGCTGCTTTTTCTGCAGAGATCTGCTAAGTGACTGTCCTCACCGTCTTTGTCGATGGTGAAGGGCACGTCAGGAGTGACAATCTCGTAGTTGCAAATTTGACTGAACTGGAAGGAGCAGTCGGCGTCCACAGCCTCCACCTTCAAGATGCTGTCGTACTTCTTCCCCTCAATGACTGTGGCTTTGTAGGACTTCTCCTTGAACACAGGCGAGTACTCGTTGATGTCGTTCACTTGGATGTGAACAGTGGCTCTGAAAAGAAGGAAATTATCACGTCAGGACACAGCTGAGGGTAAATATTAAAAATTGATTTTAAAGCCAACTGTCTACAGGTTTCATCACAAGGAATCCTTCAACTTCAAATGAGTGAGGAGAGGTGAGGTGGCAGTGACAAGACTCACTTGTGAGACTTCTTCATGTTGGTACCATCAGGACCCTCTCCACAATCATATGCTTGGATGGTGAAGGTGTGCTCCTTCTGCAGCTCACAGTCCAGCTTGTCCTTTGCCCGGATGACGCCCTCACCAGTGGACTTGTCCAGGACCACTGCTTCAAAGGGGACATTCTGCCCGTGGATCCTGAAGCCGCAAATCTCACCTGAACACGTCAAGAGCCAATGAAGAGTTTACTGAGAATGAAGGCAGGCAGCTGTGAGGACTTACTGCTTAAAAGAAACAATTGTGTTCAAGCAAAGACACTATGGATTCACGCAAAAAAAAAAGATCAGCCACAGTTTTAAGGAGCCGGGAGTTGTAGACTGGGGTGGGAGGTGTCTGTGGAAGAAGCCCAAAACGCACGGTCATAAAGGTGTGTCGAGTTCGGGCAGGGGGGTGGGTGGGATATTTAGTGTCAGTAATCAGAGTGTCTTTTCCAAGCCACTTGAAAACATTGCATCCAGTCATGCAGGCAGAAACTGAAAAGATGTGGACAGGCATTTTACAGGAACACACAAGGTATTTTAAAAGTCACAAAACCAAAAGTAAAACATGTCTTGTCATAGAACCTTATGTTAGGCAAAATTTTTTTTGACTGATAGGAAAAAAAACTACATCTAATAAGCAAATTATAAAAAAAACCCCGCCAAAATAGAACTATTGACAAAAAATAGCTCTGGAGATCCAGCCATCATGAAAAGTCTGTGAAAGAAAATACGTTACATAGTTGTTTTAAAGTTTTCCTGTGTAATTTTGCCTTTTGCCCAAAGCTACAGGAAGTTAACTGAAATAAAATGATAAATTCAACTGAACTGGTACTGAACAAAAAAAGTACTGGATGAGAACTGGGGTTAGAAATATCAACTTGCTTGACATCCACATCAAATGACAACTGCAGCCATGCTAATGGTGGAGATTAGTGGTGGAAGATTAACTCAAAGAGATCCACAGAGGCAAAGATGCAAAAACAGAAACTTTGCAGCAGAGAGAGTTTGCATTTGTTAACAATCTCAGCAGCTTTCATTTTTAAAGATTCAAATGAGAGCAAAATCCACAGGAGTCACTGGTCACAGAAAGGCACGTCAGACTGTACCGGTGCCTTCAGGGTGTTCAGATTTAAAATGTCTCTTCCCTTTGAATACCAAAACATGTTGGTCATTTCTGCTCCAATTGCAAAATAATATTCATTTGTAATGATATTTAATATTTGTATGTGAGAGGATTCAATTAGAGAGCAAATTGAAGGACTCCTCTTGGGTTTAAAGCATCTTTCTGTTTCCTGGTGACAGCTGAAAAACTGTTAGGGTCTGCAAACTGCAATGGATGTCTCATGCACAGATATTTCTAATTACACTAAGCCCCATATTATAATTTTCATCCAGCTGTAGGAACTCTAAAAATAGTCAAGGTAAGAAAACCAAAAATTCAAATGGGGAGATTACGGAGCATGGCGGGAGTTGCTGTGTGAATGTGTGGATGCCGGGGTTTTTTTGCGTTAGTGGGTTAATAAAAACAACTCAGCACAAGGCAGAAAGAAAGAGCCCAAGATCACCTTCTTCAGTGAGGGTCACCTCAAAACTCTCTACAAAGAAGGGAGAGAAGATAAATCCAGATCAGTTAGAAGAAGAATTGGGAGCTCATAGAAAACAAAAGGAGTGTACAGAGGATTTCAAAAGCAACCAGTCTTCTGCCAGCTGGAAAAACAGGTTGTGAAGATACAGTAGGTGCCAGTGTCTTTGCAACTGTCAAAACATGCTTTCTTTGGAATTCACAGAAAATCACTGCATTACCGATGCAGGTACCAGGCTTGAATCTTCATTAAAATACTTGACAATCTAGCGACTAAATTTGGACTAAGGCTACATAATAATTTAGTTAAAAGACTAAACAAAATCAACTGTTAAAATTAACACTGGTCGCGACAGGCACTGCCAAGTGCCTGGCAGCAAAAGCATCAGATAAATATAAAAACAATATTATGAAAATACTACGGTTCTGAGAAGTTTTATTGTTGTTTTTTGTCTTTGATCACACTAGAGAGGAACCATGAGTAGAGAAAGAACACTCATTAATACACATACTCTAAGACTCAGTAGTTTTGGCCCTAAATCCTGAAGTCTTTCACTCATGGAGTGGAAAGATGAACAGAACAATGACTTTCTCCCCGCTCTGATGCTTGTATTGAAGCCCAACGTCTGTACCAGACAATTAGAAATGGATTTCACATTAGGGGACACTGCACAGGGACAGTGAACACAGTGAGAGAGATGTGTTAACCACAGCTCTAATGATCAGGAATGGCTCGTGGTTTGAATGGTCACGCTGGCTTCTGCACAGATTTCATCAGTCATTACAATGACTGACTGTTGTGTATTTAGTTTTACAGCGTTGACCTGCAGACGACACTTTACTGCTGGTACTTGAATACAGTGACTGACAACAAAAACAACTTTGAGAACCATGTGAGAATCTGCAGCAGGAACATGAACAGGGATGTTTTATTAGATTTATTTTTTGGCCATGGTTAATAAAGACAGTCGATAATTAATGTGAACTCTTTTTAGGTTTATGGTTTTAACAACTTACAGAACTCTGCAATTAAACCTTAAATTAAAGTTTAGAAGAGAGAGGCTCCTCAATGATGATGGACGCACTAATGTGACTCAATGGAGTGATTTGGTTTCTGGATGGCCTGTATGGCGGCTTTACAGCGACTTCTGTTTGTTGGCACAAACGGGGAACAACAAGTAGGACGCTGGAACCACACGGCTGGTCATTTCTGCTGCCACGTGAGGCCGGCCTCTTGCTGTCCCCCGAGAGCTCCACAAGGACACAAAGACCATTTCCACAAGTTGGGCTCATTAAAAAGAAGAAAAGGGAAGAAAGGCCACTCTGTTTTCATTGCTAATTTATGGTAAAAGGAAAAACAAACAATCTGGAGACAGGGTGGTTTTATTTTAAATCCTCTTTTCTTAATGACTTAGGTCTACTTTACGCCACGCATTTAATCAAACTGATAATTTATTGTCATTTTTCAATAGATAACGGGTAAATGCCGTAAATGTGTTTTGACCTGGTAATGTTTCTGTGCTGCTCCACAGACCTGATCCTACTTTTCATTCTGGAATAGTTGAGTTAAAAAAAAAGTTAAAAAACAAAAATAGATAAAAAGACATGAAAACCAGAGTATCAATGAGTACTCACCAGTCAATCAGTTGACAACAGTAAACAACAAGTAACATTCAGGAGACATCGTTAGTTTCAGGTTTACTCTTGGATTTTTGTTCAGTCAACTTGAAGAAGAGTTCTAGTCTGTCCACCTCGTGATGTCAATCTCACTGGTTTTCCCTTAATGAGTATTATTTTAAGTGCAATAAAAACACTGTGGGTGTGTAAAAGAGACAAAAGTCCACGCAAGTCATGTGATGTGAAATGATGGGAAATCGTTTCCTTAGCTTTGAATTCTGGCCAAAGTCAATTCTGCTGTGATTGAAATGCCTCAGAGCCAACGCCGCTGTGGAACATCAAGCACACTTGTGTGCCTCACCACTGGGAGAGAAAATGGAACATGAAAGAGGATTTTGATCTTAATATCAAAAGGGTGAGACTGGGGGTTTACCAATGCCAGCTGTGTGTCACTATGACAAACACATTGTAATAATTAAATACACAGGATGCCACTTAGACACCAAGTCTACTACGTGTGCAGAAAACTACTACAATACGCAGTAATTCACAGCCTAATCACAACCATCAGTGTTGATCACTATTGATTATTTTGATTTAATCATAACTAATAAAAACTACCTGACGTGACTTAGTAATGTACATGCTACCTAAGGTTAAAAATATAATGAAAAGCTCCCATTGTATGTTAATATTTATATTTGTAATTAAATACATGAAACTCAAACATTCTCCATTTCTCATCATGTTACATGACCTGAGAGCTTATATGCCACAGACTAATGAGTGTGTTGTGTGTCTCCTTTATTCAGAGCGAAACAAGAGACGGATAATATGTGTGAGGTGAGGAGAAGCTGTGGTTTTCTCTGGGAACATTAAACGCCTGCTCTCACCTGCGTATCGTAGAGGAGCGTCCTTATCCAGGGCGATGAGGGGGGGGTCCAGTAACACTTTGTCATCGTTTTCGGTTACAATCCCGTGGTATGTCGTCTCAATCCATGGTTTGTGCTTATTGACTGTGAGAAACACAAAGGAGACGAGTGAGGACGCAAAGTCTGTCCCCAGATATCCTTTCTTTCTCCAACACATGTGATCGACAGAAAACGAACATTGTTTAATGCCTGTGTCATATTTATAACACTTTATAATCACACAGATTTGTTGCTATTATATAAATCACTTTGACGGACTAATGATACAGCAATTACATCCCTGAGTCTAAATACAGCATCAATTCACTCTGGTATAATCCAAACAAAAGTAATTTATTCAGTTGTCTGCAGTAGAAAACAATGTTTTGGATCCAAATTGCAGGAGCAGTTTAAACTTTTTTTGTCAAACTGTTTTTTTTTTATTCTGCTGCTGAAAAGAAAGAACATTTATTAAGTAACCATCACGTACCAACACATGTTTTAGTACTACTCGGCCTAAAGTACAGGACTAATTATGTCATAGTTTTCCAGCCATACTCAAAATAACTGTATTATTAGCTAAAAGTGAGTGTTTTGTTAAAAAACGATTTGGAATCAAGTTTACTGAGAATCTTGAAGACTTGAAATGTAAGAAAACCAGCCTGACACTCTACTTCATCACATGGCTGCGCATAAAAAAGAGGTGGGCTGAGGCATCTAAAGAATCGTTAGGGACACATGCATTCACTCATTAAAGGTTTATTGTTGTGTATATACCAAACCACCTCCAGCTGTGGTGATCAGGTTTCAATCATGTCCTTAGGAGACATATTTAATACCACATCTGACCAGTTTCAGGGTGGCTTGTACAATCTCATCTGGGTGGTGTGTGATGGAGTCAGCTGTATCCCAGCTGCAGACAGCTCAGAGCTGAAGCTGGAGGCTGCAGAAGAGAGACTGACAGATTTAGGCTGACTTAGAAAAAAAAAACAGCTTTGATACGGGGAAGATGCAGCTTCTCATGGAGGATATGTGCTAACTCCAGAGAGAGAGGAGGAGGATGGAATTCCTGCACTACAGACTGAATCCGCCCGTGTTAACTTCAGCTGACTGTGCACAGTGAAGCATCGTTACTTTCTGCAGATGCAATGGGCAGATCGTGGCTTTTATGGGGTAATTAATAAGACAGTGAGACCAGATGTTATTGTAACTCAGTGAACCATCTCTACTACTAGACGCTCTGCTACTGTGCACTGACTGAAAACTCACCGACCAGTTCTTGCAGAAAAACCACAGACTATTCCTCACAACTAACTGTGTATCATCACATGCACAGTTTATCGACCACAGTCCAACAAGCATGTGACCCAAATACTTTTCGATACCACAGCTACAGATAAACCAGCTGTGTCCTGAAGAGGTTTTTTTTTTTCAATTTTTATGTGAATTTTTTCTATTCGTTTTTTTTACTATTGTAAAGGTAGAAGGACAGACCGTGCACAGCGGTTCAAGGTGCCCTGGTAAAATCAGTAGCACTCCCACAGATATACAAATGGTTTGATGGGTCAAGAATAATCTTGTTACTTTTCTGCATGTTTTTTGCACTATAGTTTATTTTCTAAAATGATTCGATAAGAGAATCTAATCGATCGTGATACCGATAATGGTATTAGAATTGTTAAAACTCGTAGAAATTGCAGAACATTTCTGAGTCACCTAGTGTATATCAAATCTTTATAAATATGTGTTTACTGTGTTTACTTGTTGATGAAAATGTGTAGTTGCAAGCCTGAAAATTAAATTAATATACAGCTTAGGAATTTTGCCAGCTTTTTGCTGACAAGTTATGGATTCGTTGACAAATTACTGCAGCCCCAGAATGAATGTACCTCAGGTGTAGAGATGTTGCTGATGTAGTAAAACTCTTGAACGCTTAAAGATTTCCTTTCCATCTGTATCTCCGACTAATGCAGAGTTAGCTCATGCTTTTGCCAGTCGTTTGTAACTGATCAACCTCTTTAAATGTGTCCTGACATGATTCTGCCGGACCGAGCTACTGCAGTAATCTCCCTTAGCCATCACAGAGTCGCAGTAGCTGCTCAGTGCTCCATCAGTTCTTAGTAGCCTTCAGGGCTGAGGTAATTTAAACTAGGGTTAGTACTGATGGATACATCAAGGAGATGTATACCAGAAATCTGTGCCAAATATTCCAGGCACATCCCAACCCCGTGGCAAACATTCTACTTTGTAAATGTTACTGTCTCCTTTTAAGTCCATCTTAAGCTTTGAAAATAAATCTGAAAAGATTCCCATAAAAAACTCAGTCACAGCCACAGCCACTTAGCTTTGTGTCGTGCAAGCACAATCTGACAAGAGAGGAACATTTCTAAATAAGCAGCAAGACACAGATGAGAGACTTCACACTTCTACAGCAGCAAATGTCGAAGAAAATATAAGAGATAAATTCAAATTCAAGAGCACTTTTGCTGTGCTTCATAAAAACCAAGACTTTGTTTACGCACACAAACATCTTCTATTAAATAAAACCTAAAGCACCATTTTGTCAGAATAATAAAATCCTCAAATACAATGAATAAAAATGCATGCAAGCAGCGTTTGACAATACAGCTTCATCATCTCCCAGCATGCCTGCAGTGAACAAATAGAACAACAACGGCTGAGCGCTGACTTGCCCTGTCTGAGCCGTGAGACATGATATGCATTAATGCACGTAATGTTATTCATGAAGATAAATACCAGCAGCCAGGGAGAGGGATGTTTATTCAGAGCTATTTATACAAAACCTTTATCTGATTTCTGCTAAACCTAAAGACTAAGCAGTTTGTTCACCAAACATAACGCTTAGTCGTTACGAGCCCAAATTGAACAGTAGACAAAGCCACTTTCACTTTTTTAAACAAATTAAGAAATATGCATGAAATAAATCGAAATAACCATTGTATGATTGATTAAGTGAATATAAAATGTAGTTAAAAATGAGAGGGACGGCTGCAGAGAGGCAGTCCATTACTCTGCAGACATCCACTGTGGGGCTGAGGCTGGGAACAAAATTGCTCCTTCGTGACACTGTGGTATTTTTAGTCATGAAGATATCACTTCAATATAAATATTAGATGTAGAGTTGGGATACCAAGATATTGCAAAGATATTACTTTATTGCTAAATAATACAAAAATTGCCTACAAAAATACAGCTGCAAATGAGTCCCAGGAAACACGGGCGATCACGGCACAAACCCGATCCAAACCTAATCTGACAGACTTTACATAACGCGTGCTCGGAGATATAATTGATGTCTCCGAGGCTGAAAACAAGAAAACATGTCAAAACCCATTTTCAGAAAAGTAAGATGTCATAAAAACGCAACAACAAAAAAAACTGTCTACTGGTCAAACAACTAAATGAAGCTGAAACCTACACTGCTAACTCCCATTTCTAATAGTCTGGAGACTTCACATAAAAATGGGGCCTTCAGTAATATAACCCAGATGTAATACCAGGTATGAGTCTAAAAAGGCTCAAGGATAGTTAAATAAATATGGAAATAGACCAAACAATTCTGACATTTGAAAATGTGACAGAAGAAATCCAGAACAACACAATAGGCTGTCAAAATACAGTTACCGTTCACCTTGTAGCTCAGTAACAAATAATCAATGTGTCATCACTGTTCAATGTAATTGCCAAGAATATTTTTTTTACAGAAATACCATCTATATCAATTGTAGCTATATTACTATAATCTATTTAATTTTGGAAGTAGCATTGGAAGCATTTGTTATCTAGCCACTTAATTTCCTCTGTAACTAACAGTGGAAAATTAATTTTCTGATTAACATATTTATGATGTATCTCATAATAAGGCCTGTGTTGTACTTGAATAGAAGGGACCGTTACAGTTGGTTGATGTCACCACTGGGAACACTACCAATAACCAGAGGCAATTTAATCGTGCTTTTTTTTTAGCACATTCACACACTCCATGCACATTTTGCTAACCTGTGTGACAGTACTGCTGTTTTTCACCCTCTGTGAAATGAACATATTAACCATTGGCATGAACACAAAGACAAGGCCTCTTTATGGCTGTTGAGCCTCTTTAATGAAACGGAAGCCTTTCAGTCAGACCCATAAACGGAGAAGAAAGCTTCATGTGAGAATGTTAGCTCAACAAAAGATTGTGGTGAGTCCAAGTTCAGAAGAACACCTGTACAAACTACAAACAATCCCTCTGTAAGCCAGCTTTGGTAAGTTGTCTTTATAAAGGAGGAGGAATCAAATCTTTCCTACAATTTGAGAAAACACCTCCCACCTCTTCCACCTTCAGCACTGCCACTCCTAGTGTACATGGCCTTAACACAATACGACACCCAAATACTGTGAGGCACAATAACTAAGTATGAAAAGGTACACGTATTCAAGGCAATTAAGCCAAAATATCACCCCGCACCTAAGCCTGATCTAACTACTTTTTTTAAAATCCAGCCATGAAATAGATATAGACGAATTACTACAGGCAAAGACATCTGGCTCAGCAGCAGCAGCAGCAGCAGCGGTCCGTGAGCAGTCAGTTGAAGCCTGGGAACCTCTGAGGGCTTCATGTGTAATAATGATGTTGCAGCCAAGTGTCGAGTCTGTGATGTGTTGTGCAGCTCTGCTTCATTGGTTCAGCTCAAACATTTTACACATGGTGGCTGACGGCCTGGAAGTCTTAATCTTCAGTAATTACATGCAAATATGGTACTAACCATTAAAAAGACTAATTGTTATCGGACTGAGCTACAAATAAGAGCACAAATAACTCGGCTTTGCTTTAATGAAATTATTTCAATTTGCATTAAAGATTATTTACCCTCCAAACCTGCCAATCAGAAGCAAATTAATTGGCAGTGTGGTCCACATGCAGCAGGTACAGGCTGTGTTATGACTGCTGCAAACTAAATAAAGCCCTTCTGTTGCCAGGTTGTTATTCATATTTATGCCGTTAGCTGCAGCAGTTGGCTGAAGAAGAGAGAAGGCGGTGAGTGTTCAGAGAGATAATCAGACCTTGAAGTGTTTCCAGGGAGACAACAAAATGGAGAAAG